TGCTGCTTGGCCTGCTGTGTTCATCCAGCCCTGCACCTTGTTGTCTCTTAATTATTTATCGCTGTGACTAGCTGTGGCCTCAAGCAATTAATAGTAGTCATGGTTGATCACCTTCGCCTTAGTGATTTAGACAAGTGCCTGTTCCTCTCCAGTTGGCTCCCTCTTAGTCTAGTTGAGCACCACATTTACACGGTGAGTCAGTGATATCATGTAGTGATACAATTGTCATAGTTGTACAGCCATCAGTTTGAGAGTCTTGCGATGTCAATATGAAGCAGTACTAAATGTATGAGCGTGAGATAAAGCATCTGACTCTTAGGAATGAGTCTGGATTATTAGGGATTGTCAGTAGATCAGTAATTGTGGGGTGGTTTTGGTAATGATATTTTGCAGTGTTTAATGATGCAGTGGTAGGAGAAAGCACATGAAGGTTCATTTGCTTCCTGTATCCTGAATGACCACGTGCAGAAAGTGGTGTGACTCGGGGGAGTTCAAGCTCCCTGTTTCAGGTTTTGTACGATGTCACTGCAGGAGATCCGCAGGGTTGAGAGTTCTATGGATTGCACATTCGAGGACACAGACATCCCACAGCTAAGGGTATGTAGGCAGAGAAAGAATGGGTGACCATCAGCTAGGAGAGAAAGATTGGGCCAAAAATGCACAATGCTAAGCACATCTGGTTCTCAGACCAGTGGTCAGTTTTGAACACGGGGAAGTAATTGTTCCTCTGGGATGGCCAAAGAGTCAAATCCAAGGGTTTACTTGTTGCTTAGCTGTGCAAAAGCTGGATCAGGAAAGCAATGGTGATTGGGGATTCCACCGTTTAGGAAATGGGAAGGAATTTCTGTGGTCATAGATGCAAATCCAGGATATGTGTTTGTTCACTGGTACCTGTATTAAAAAGCCTCTAAATGGTTGCAGACACAGCTACGAGTGAACAGCCAGTGACTGGTCCATTTGGTATTTGGACATAGGTAGAAAAGGCTATTTAAATAGATCAAAAACAGAAATTTCTGTAAAAGCTCAGCAGGTCTGGCAGCGTCTGTGAAGAAAAATCAGAGATAACGTTTCAGGTCTGGTGACTGGTTCGGAGGAAGTATCACCAGACACAAAACATTAACTCTGATTATTTAAACAGAAACCAAAATAACCGTGGATGCTGTAAATCAGGAACAAAAACAAGATGTTGCTGGAAAAGCTCAGCAGGTCTGACAGCATCTGTGAAGAAAAATTATGGGTCAAATAGAAGAGTTGGTGCCAACATGAAAGAAAGAAAACGACCATGGACTGAAAACAGCAAGTTGTAGTTTATAGTTATTTTTCAGACTGAAGAATCGTAGATAATGATATTAATGATAATGATAATAATGATAATTGTTAGAGCTAGAACACATCTTATATATAGTGCGATGAAGTCCTCTGGTTACATCCATTTTTTGTGCTGAGCAAGCCAACAATTACTGGCTGATAAAATTTATAGCACAGTTCCAAGTTTTGCAAAGTCCAATTCTGCCCAGAAAAAGAGGAGGGCCTTACTTCAACTTTTTCAAAAGGTCACTCATACCAATTTAGGGTATAGGGGCTCACTGGAGAGGAGTTCAAAGATTACTTGATGGGACTGAATTTATTTATTTATTTTTATTTTTGTTTTTCAATTTGAAAAATAATCACTTACAACATTCATGAGATAACAAGGTGCAGAGCTGGATGAATGAAGCAGGTCTAGGCCCGAAACATCAGCCTTCCTGCTCGGCCTGCTGCGTTCACCCAGCTCTACACCTTGTTATCTCAGATTCTCCAGCATCTGCAGTTCCTACTATCTCTCACTTACAACATTCATTTTTTTTGGCTCTTAGGACTTTTTAAAAAATCCAACCTACCCTCCTAATTCATGTTGATCTGCATTGTTGAGGAAACAAAGTACCATCTTCACAATATGCATACTTTATATTGTGTTGTGTAGTACTACGACAATGCTAAATGCGGTAATTTCAGACAGGTCCAGCAACTCAAAACTGGACATTCATGAAGCGCTGTGGGCAAACAGCAGATGAGAAATTACGTTCAACCACAATGTGTAAACTCATGGCCTGACAGACTTCCTACTTTACCATGACTATCAAGCCAGGGGATCAACCCTGGTTCAATCATGAGTTAGGAGGCCATGAAAGCAAATGATTCAGTACTGGGAGTGTGAAAATAAAACAAAAAAAAAAATTCTGGAAATATTCTGTAGATCAGGCTGTATCTGTGGAGAAAGAAACACTGATAATGTCACAATTTGAGGTCAAACATTATGTAATTTTGAGAGGGAGGTAGAGATAGCTTTTGTGGCTAAAGGGATCGGGGATAGGGCTGGATCAGGGTATTAAGGTCGACGATCAGCCAGAGTCAGAGATATACAGCATGGAAACAGATCTTTTGGTCCAAATCATCCACAGACCAGATATCCTAAATTAATCTAATCCCATTAGCCAGCATTTGGCCCATACCCCTCTAAACCTTTGCGATTCGTATGCCCATCCAGATGCCTTTTAAATGTTGTAGTTGTACCAGCCTCCACCACTTCCTCTGGCAGTTCATTCCATATATGCACTACCCTCTGTGTGAAAAAGTTCCCCTTAGGTCCCTTTTAAATTTTTCTTCTCTCACCCTACACCTATGCCCTCTAGTTTTGGACTCCAAAGTCAGAAAGCCTTGTGGGTCTGCTCCTGGGCCTGGCCAAGTTAGCTATTAACAGGTCCAGGCAGCAGGCTATGGAGGGATGATAGCTGCTGACTGTATGCCCCTCCTTTGTGGATACATTCGTGCCTGGATGTCCTTGGAGAGGGAGCACATGGTGTCCACCAATACTCTTTATGCCTGAAAGAGGTAGGCATTGCAAGGGGATCAGTATTTTACCTCACCTTCCAACTCCATTTTAATTTATCCCCTTCCTGCTCTCCCTCACCTTTGATGATTTGCACCTTAATGAGTAAATTATAGTATTCAAGTGGAAACACATGATTTACTGGTGCTAGTTAATAGATAAAAAGTGCTATTTGGCGTCAGGGAGAAAAAAGCTGTTCAGTTGTGTGTAAGTGCACTTCTGGATACAATAAAAACAGAATAACTTTCACAAAGATTGGAAATATATCTTTTTGTAGCTGCATTATCATTAATGGGATGTTATTGGTGTACAACTGTCATCAGATAATTGGATTGTTTTAAAAAAACTGTTAAAAGTAAAACGATTTGTTGTGTATAGATAAACCTGAAATCGAAATTGCCGTATTTGATCTTGAGGGGGATCTTTGATGCCAAAGTGAATTAATTTGGTGAATTCTTTACATTGCAAAAGACAATGACTTGACAGCTTTTATGTTTATTTTATTTAACTCTATCCTTGTAAAATTAATTTATTCAATAAACAATGACATTTATTTTGCATGTTTACTTTTTTCACATTTCAAAATGGCAAACATGTACGCTCACACCAGCTGTTCACATTTTATATTCAGCATTTAAGTCACCGCCAACTTTCAAACTTTTTGGAAGCCTTAAAAGGTTGACTTATACATCAATATTCTGTGTGGTATGTTTTGAGAAAAATAACATTGAGGTTTAACATTAGTTTCACCTGATGGAAGACAATTCAAAGAATTGAGCCCTTTGCACTCAGAGGACAGCTTTCTCAGTAAACTTCTAAAATGGTGTTTCCTTATTCTCAACACCAGAATGCAACGTAAAGTGCTGGATAGTCTAACATATGGACAATACTCTCTAATGCAAGACTCTGCACCAGCAGAAATTGTTTCTTCCTATCACATCTGTTACCTTTCAATAGCTTGAAAGCTTAAATCTAATCACTCCTTAAGCATCTAAATTCCAAAATAAAAATCAACCCTTGTTTGTAAAATCTAATATTTAACACTTGGAGTCAAGGCATTATCGTGGCAAAGCTATGCTACACTTCCTCTTAAGGTCAAAATCATTCCTGAGGGGCAGTGCCCAGCACATGATACTTCAGGTGGTTTAAGTAGGGTCTAGAATAACTGTAGCAGGACTTAAGAGTCATGAAAACTTTACAGCACAAAAGCAAGTCTTTGGGCCCATGGTGCCGTGCTGGTCAAACATTCATCTATCCTCCCATTTTCTAGCACTTGGTCCCAAGCCTCGTATGTTACGGCCTTTCAAGTTCCCATTTAAATAGCTCAATGTCTTGAGGATTCCTTCCTCTACCGCCGTTTTAGGCAGTGAGTGCTAGATATCCACAACCTCAAATCCCCTCTACACTTGCTGCTCCTTTCCATAAAACTATGCCCCTAGCTAGCGACCCCTCTAAGAGGAAAGATTTCTCCTGTACACCTGGTTTCACTGGACCTCCGTTATTTGTAGCTGTTAGCATTGAACAAAAGCACCCCCGTTCTGTTTTTATTTCCAAAAGTGCACGACCCAGGTTTTTCCTCCACGAACAGCGGCTAGTAGAGATTATTCTAGTTTTCAAACTGACACGTCTTTGGTCTGTACCTGTCCTTTTCGCTTTCCTCCTTTACGCCACCCCGGTTCCCGCTGAATCCTTTCTGCCTCAACGTCGGCCTCTCTGCTCCTATGATGCTGCTTGGCCCGCTGTGTTCATCCAGCCCTGCACCTTGTGGTCTCTTGCCTTCCATTCCAGCCGTTTGCTCCTAATTGTCCTGCCCCGTTCGAAAACTCTCGCAGCGGGTCTTCAAGCTGAAACGTTAACTGCAGGCCCGCTGAGGTATTTCCGTTGCGTTCAGCAGCAGCTGCTGGCTGGTGGGGGGGGGCAATTAAATGTGAGACGCGGCGGGGGTCGTCGAACCCGGGGGCGAGAGACGGAGGATGTGAAAGATGATCCACAGCCAGTCAGGGGATGAGCCCGTCTCCACGGTCCCCCTCTCTCCGTCAGGCCCGCGGCCCTCATCGACTGGTTTCCGCGGCAACCGCGGGACCTGCCGTTGATTGGCTGCTCCGTCACCCCGATGTCATCACGCACGGTCGCCGGCCGACGCGCGCTCTCCGATTGGCTCGGGCGGTGCGCAGGCGCGGAGTTGCTGCGCTCTTGGTCAAGATGGCGCTGAATGCAACGAATCCGTCCCAGCTGTTACCTCTAGGTAAGAACCCGCATGGAGCCGGTTACCACCACCCCCCCCACACACTCCGGTCTGACGCCTTAGGGGGAGGTGGGAGTTTGGGGGGGAGAAATACTTGGGTGAAATTGGCGGCGGGAGAAAGCGCGAACTAGGAGGGCAGCTCGAGCGGGGTGGAAGGGCGAAGGGAAATGGATGGAATGGGAAATTCAGGCTGAAGGAACCGGGGAGAAGAGGACAAATTAATGAGGAAAAGGCAGAGAGTTGAGCTGGGATGGAGTAAGGGAGGAAGGATATGGAGGAATGGCCTAAGGGGATGGTAAGGCGATGCGGGAGACGGGAAGGGGGTGTTGGGGACAAGGAATTGACAAAGTGGTAGAAGGAAAGGTGAACATGATGGATGGACCTTTGGTTTGGCGTGAGGGAATTAAGTGTAGGAGAGAGGAGAAGACTGAGGTGGAGAGAAAGGGGACAGGCAGTTAGGATGGGAGGGATACAGAGGTTAAGGAAGAGATAGTAATGGGTGGGTAGAGTTAAAAGTAAAGATGTGGATGTTAAATAATTTGAAAGGGATGGTGAAGTGAATATTAGCTGAGACTTGATATCATTTGAATGGAAATGTGATGAGACTTCAGCTACCTGAATAGATAAACAGAATTTGCACTCTAGTGAACATATCTTTTTTAAAAAATCATTGGGTGTGGGCATCAGTGGCTAAGCCAGCATTTTAAGGAAAGCAAGTGATTAGAAAGATAGGCTAAATAAATCAGTTAACATACACTTCTGGAGCAGGTGGGACTTCCAGGTTCAAGGGTAGGGAAACTGCCTCTGCACCACAAGAGGGCACCCTAAGCCAGCATTTGTTGCTGATCCCTAGTTGCTTTCAGGTGGTTTTGAGCTGCTATCTTATTGCAATCATTGTGGTGTAGGTACACCCAGAGTCCTGTTAGGAAGGGTGTTCTATGATTTTGACCCAGTGATAGTGAAGACAAGGCTATTTGGGTACAAAGTGTGTATGGTCTGTGACTGGATGGGGATCCTGCAGGTGGTGCTGTTCCTATTTATTTGCTGCCCCTTCTAGATGGTAAATGTCAAGGGTTTAGAAGGTGCTGTCAAAGGGCTGTTTATTTAACTGCAATGGTTTCAATCTCTCTTCACATTCTACATCTAACTTTTTTCTTCTATTCCAGAGTTGGTGGACAAATGCATTGGCTCACGGATTCATATTGTTATGAAAAACGATAAGGAGATTGTAGGAACACTTCTTGGTTTTGATGATTTTGTCAGTATCCTTTTATTTGGCATTTTCTACAACAAAATGCCCTGCTTGATGCATGATTTTGGGATTTGTATTCATACTTAGCCCTTCAAGTGTCCAGTTTAGTTAACTGACAGTAATAGTTACTAAAGCAAGTGGTGTTGAATTCAGAGGGGTAGTAATGCGTTTTGAAAAGACTAACAAGGCAAAGAAATGCACAATAAATAGATGCTCAAAAGTATAAGGGAATAGAGCAATCTTGTCTAATAATACTCACCCACCCACCTCACCATCACCTCCCTTTCATCAACTCTTTAAACATCCAGACCTCTTAGGTCACATCCGCCCCCATTCAACTCCTGCTACCTCTTCCCTGACCTCTGCTTCTGTACTGCCATCCATGCCTGCTGTCTCACCACCTCGACCTTTTCCCATCAGCCCTTCCCCACCTCTGCCTGTTCAACCCATGTCTCTCTCTTCGTTCTTTCCTTTCCCACCTCAAAATCCATTTTATCCCTCCTCTCCCTCACTCAATTCTCTGCCATCTTCAGACATCTGTTGACATATAGATGAGTTGGTCAAGTAGGAAGTTTTCTGTTAGGCAAAGTATAAGATATAAGAGGAAGGTTGTTGTGCTAGAATTGTACAAATACTAGTTGGGCCATAGTTGTGTGCAATTCTGGTCACTGCCATAAAGGAGATTAGTCTGGTTCCTCCTTGGACCGAATAAATATAATTTTGAGACATTATTGGTTGGGCTAGGATTGCTTTCTTTGAATAAATAGGGCTAAGGAGGACCAAATGTGTTTCACTTGGTTAAATACTCTTAACCAGAGGCATAGATTAATGGTTAAGCAGTAGTAAGCTTAGAGGGGATGTAAGGGGAAAATTCTTCATTCAAAGGGTGGTGTATGGAATTCTCAGTCATAAGGGGCAATAAAATCAGAAAGCCTCAACATTTAAGTACTTGGCTTTGGCCTAGAAATGTTGTTACCTATAGGGAACATACTGAGTCCTTGAAAGTGGTATGAGGGTAGATGGTTGCTACTCAGCTGTTGACACTGAGAGTTTTGTGATGCTATCATTTTGCTGAGAAGTATACCAATTGTATTATTAATATTAGTAGAGAATCTCCTTCAGAAGGCCTCAACCTGACCTCTGCATACCTCTTCTGGATTTAGAGATTTCCCTTACTCCTAAAAATAAATAGTATCATTGGGTGTCTGGTGCTTTCCATTTTGTAATCCTGTACTTTTCAAATTTTGAACCACTTGTATGCAACCTTATTTACCAACTAGGTCAGGCATATTTTATTTCCAACTATACTGCACAAAACTTTTAGACATTTCTCATTCTATTTAAAATATGTCATTGTTTAGTGTATAATCAACTTTTTAAAGCTAGTATTCCAATGTTGCTGCGTTATTTAGCAACAGTAGGAGAGCAAATGGGAAGTCACGGACTATTAATCGAACATCCTTGTGAAGATGTCACCAAAATCTTGTTCCTGATTGAACTCTGCAACTTTCGAGCATGACAACTGTGTCCTTGCATCATCCAGCCCTGGCCCTCACATGCACATACATACAGCTGTGTATATTATTGACTTTACCCTCAGCAGAGCTGGAGCTATTTTCTCCTTTTCATAACTTCATTCGCACCCTTTTTAGATCTCTATCTTCTAATCACCACCGTTAGCATCTTGTAATCCTGTACTCACTAATGTCCTTCAGGGAAGGAAGTTGCCATCTTTACCTGGTCTGGCCTACATGTGACTCCAGACCCACAGCAATGTGGTTGCCTCTTAATTGCCCTCTGGGTAATTAGGGATGGGCAATAAATGCTGCCCAGCCAGCAACGGGCTCTGAACATTCTTACAACTTTTCCCACTTATTCCTCTGTCCTTAGCAGTTTTAAAAAAAAACACAATTTTCCAGCCCTTTTCAGCTATAGGGAGGAGTCAGACTCCATATTAATACTGTTTCTGTCTGTACATATGCTGCCAGACTTGCTGAGTTTCTCCAGTGCTTTGTTTCTATAGCAAAATCTTATTTGGGGCCTACTGACCGTTTGGACAATTGAGCTAATCAGAATGCCAACATGAATGTATGAAAGATCATATCTAACAAATCTCACTAAATTTATCAAATATGCAACAAACATAGGGAGTATTGATGAATGTTGCTTAAGTAGATTTAAGAAGGCATTCAAAAAAATTCAACTTAATAGGCTTACCAAAATAAACTACAGGAAATAGGAGGCAACTTTATTAGTTTGCATAGGAAATAGGTACATCTCAGATGTCCTCGTTTTTCAAGGACTGCAACTTCCCTCCCTCAGTGGTCGAGAACGCCCTCGACCGTGTCTCCCGCATTTCCCGCAACTCATCCCTCACACCCCCTCCCCGCAATAACAACGAAAACAGAATCCCCCTCGTCCTCACGTACCACCCCACCAACCTCCAGATCCAACGCATCATCCTCCGACACTTCCGCCATCTGCAATCCGACCCCACCACCAAAGACATTTTTCCCTCCCCATCCTTATCTGCTTTCCGGAGTTGACCACTCTCTCAGTGACTCCCTTGTCCACTCCACACTCCCCTCCAGCCCCACCTCACCCGGCACTTTTCCCTGCAACCGCAGGAAGTGCTGCACTTGCCCCTACACCTCCCCCCTCACCCCCATCCCAGGCCCCAAAAAGACTTTCTACATCAAGCCAATGTTCACCTGCACATCTGCTAATGTGGTATACTGCATCCGCTGTTCCCGTTGTGGCCTCCTCTACATCGGGGAAACCAAGCGGAGGCTCGGGGACCGCTTTGCAGAACACCTACGCTCGGTTCGCACTAAACAACTGCACCTCCAGTCGCGAACCATTTCAACTCCCCCTCCCATTCCGCAGACGACATGTCCATCCTGGGCCTCCTGCAGTGCCACACCAATGCTACCCGAAGGTTGCAGGAACAGCAACTCCTACTCCGCTTGGGAACCCTGCAGCCCAATGGTATCAATGTGGACTTCACAAGCTTCAAAATCTCCCCTCCCCCTACCACATCCCAAAACCAGCCCAGCTCGTCCCCGCCTCCCTAACCTGTCCTTCCTCCCACCTATCCCCTCCTGTCACCTCAAGCCCCACCCCCATCTCCTACCTACTAACCTCATCCCGCCCCTTTGACCTGTCCGTCCTCCCTGGACTGACCTATCTCCTCCCTACCTCCCCACCTAGACTCACCTTTACTGGCTCCATCCCCACCTCTTTGACCTGTCTGTCTCCTCTCCACCTATCTTCTCCTCTATCCATCTTCTATCCGCCTCCCCCTCTCTCCCTATTTATTTCAGAACCCCCTTCTCCTCCCCCATTTCTGAAGAAGGGTCTAGGCCGGAAACGTCAGCCTTCCTGCTCCTCTGATGCTGCTTGGCCTGCTGTGTTCATCCAGCTCTACACTTTGTTATCATAGGAAATTGGTTAGGGTGTCAAAAATGAAGAATATTGACTGTCTATTCCAGTTTGCAGATGTGAATGATGGTGTTTCTTATCCAGATAAAAAGAGTTCTTTTAAAAAAAAATCAAGTTAATAAACAAAAGTATGGTCTAAAATAACATTCAAAATTCAAAACTTCAATTTAGTTGTGTTTGGTGCAGTTGTGCAAATGACTAGTGAGTATGCCATCACACAGCTTAGTTTATTGTATGTAGAGGTATCAGCTGATGTGGCAAAATTTCCTCTGCCTATGTAGCTATATTTAACATTTCAGCGGCTTTCTTATTGGGTTCAGTAAAATTCTGAAAACTATTGTTACCCTGAGCTTCCAGGATTTGCTGGGAATCTAAGGGTTAATAAACTCACTTCTGTTTACTGCAGAATATGCATTTCTTAACTCCAGTCCTTGGACATGGTGCTTGAAGATGTTACTGAATTGTAAGTTTTTATATTTCCTAGTACTGTGTAGAGTTGTTAATATGTAAGGCTAGCTAACAGTTTTCAGCTCCTAGTGCATGTCAACTTGTAACCAAATTCAGAATTAAGTTAAGAATGTTAATTCAGATTCTCTTTATTAAATTTCAATGACAGAATTGGACCAAGAGACTGGCATATCTTTGAATATTTGGAGTCGATTGCCCACAGACTTTGGAATTTCAGTTCTGTGAAATTGCTTTGGATTTTTTGATGGCGTTCTTCTCTTATGACTGACAGGAAGAATGCCTTGATAATCAAGCCCTTCTAATCCAACAGTCATGACATTAGTAGAAGTTTGTTGATTCAATTACTAAAGTGACCAGTCGCTTGTCCCTTGTACTAGTATCCACCTTTAATGAACTCAAAATATTCCCTTTATGTGCACAATTTACTCTTAATGCAGATAACAAACACTGATTAACACCAGAATTAAGATTATATTGCCTTAATCCCAAATACAGACGCACCTCTCAAAAAGGCAAGCCTCTTCAGCGAAAGTTTTATTTTAAAGAAAGGTGAACGTAAAAAACTGGGCCAAGAGTCTGAATTAAGGGATATTGCAAGATGACTTGTTGTATCCACTGGATTTTCAGTGAAGCAATTCAATGATAAATATCCAGCTCTGATTACGACTACATTCAACTTGAATCTTTGGGGATTCAGTGCTGTTCCCCCCTGCCCCTTTCAGGTTTTATCAGGTATACAGAAATACTGGTATTTGGAAGCTTTGTCAGTTTGCGGGAACTTCTGACTTTCCAACTATCAGCTGTGTTTTGGCAATGGCCTGGGTTTTAAGTTTTTTTTTAAGAATTTCTAGTTTGTGTATAGTATATTCTGTCATGGGGAAAAGTGCTTGTTTGTGTGTCAATGAAATGATACCAGTATTGGCATGCAGATCATCAAATCCCTTCAAATGTTCAACACTAATAAAGCCTTGCACCTTATTTTACCCTTTTCTGTTTAATTAGTTTTTCTCATCCTTGCTTCTCTACAGTGAGATCACACCAGAAGGCAGAAGAATCACAAAACTGGACCAAATCCTATTGAATGGAAACAACATAACGATGGTAAGTTGTGGAATCTACATTTTGGCACTAATTGCAGGAAGAGTTGGCATGAATTTTCCAAGATCCTTCTAATTTTTACTACTTCACCTGACAAAGGAGCAACGCTCCGAAAACTTGATTTCAAATAAACCTATTGGGCTGTAACCTGGTGTCATGTAACTTTTGACCTTGTCTGCCCCAGTCCAACACTGACACCTCCACATCACTTCTAATTTTTACAGTTTTGTGCTCAAAATGGAGCAGACAGTTTGAGGGAACAGTATTGACACATTTTCAGGATCCATTTGTTGTTGAGTAAATGTGGTTTAAATTAATATAATTTAGATTTTCAAGTTATTTTGGTGATAAGCACACCGAATTATCATCTGACAATGTACAATTGTATAGTTTCTACAGTACAGAAATGTTATTTGGTCTAGCTTGCCCATTTCTCAATTGTTTTCCAGTTATGACTTTCATATTTACGTATCTGTAAAATATTTTGCCATTTATGCTCCGTGGTGGTGTTTGCTCTGCAAATACTGCCACCCACCTTTTCTCTCATATCTATCCATTGGCATAATATTTTCTACTTTCTCCATTGCCAGTTCAACCAGCTTGACCTTAAGTGCATCTGTGCTGTGCATTATAGGGGGATCCATGTTCTCACTACGTTGTATTTAAATAAAATTCTTCAGTATACCCCTTAGTGTTTAGCACTGCAAAGTGGCATCTAGTTTTGAATTTTCCACAATTATAAACACACTTTTCATATTTTGAGCATTCTGTTAGCTCATCATAACACAACATATTTTAACTTTGGTAGTATGCAATTCCAATCTTTTAAAAATAAATCCTGTTGCTTGTGTACTTTAATGGCCTTAACGATCTACATCACGACTTTGTGATTTCTGTATTTGACCTCTTTATTTCCTCCCCCATTTAGATTCTTATTTTCAAAGTGAAATATTTCCTTATCAAAATGTAATGTCTCACAGTTATGGTGTTAAAATTTGTTTGCCAACATTGTATCCCAGCACACAATTTGGCGTCTGAAATTTCAATTGTTTTTGATTGCAAAATCTCAATTATTTGCATAAATTGTGATCAAGAGGACCCAGTACTGATTAAAGTTTGATCCTACTTCCCATTTTTTTGGCGGTTTGAATATCTAGCCATACCCCTCTCTCAATTTTATCCTTTAGCTAGCTGACTATCCATTCTGCTACTTTTGCCTTAAACCCACATCCTCTGACTTATTTTGTGATACCTTTTATTGAAGAGCTATTGAAAATTTTAATATATTGCATCCACTCAAATTTGTTCACTCTTTCTGATAACTCATTAAAATTAAACTGCTCAAGAAAACTTCCTCTTTTTGAAATCCAGACAGACTATTTATGGTTGTGTTTTTGTTTTATACTTTAGTAGTGATTCTCTTTTTCAACTGCCTGGAAATGTCCTATATCCCTAAAATATAGATGTAACATTAGCTATCCTTCAGTTCTGATACTATACCTATTTCTAATAAATTATTAAAAATATTTAGTATTGCTTCTCTAGATTCATTTTAAAAATGCATGGATATAATCTGTCCATACTAGGAATTTCATCCTGTCTTTGTTTAGGTTAGTTAATATTTTTCCGTTTTTGTTTTTAAATGTAGTTATGTAACTTGCCTTATTCTAATCTTATCTGCTGTCCTGTTAACTTGTATCTCTAACTGCTGATAAATACTGAAGCTAGACAACTGTTGAGATGATCTGTGATTTCGTTTTTCATCCAGCCCATTTCTTAACTCACTCCAGTCTTGACTTGTATACTTGTGTATCTGTAAAATATTTTACCATTTATACGCTTGTACAATTTAATTGTACACTACCTCTTTGGCTTCTCTTTTAACTATGCTGTTATAGTGTAGGTCTCTCTTCTTTGCCCTTAATCCCTTTAATGCCCCTTTTTTTCTCTTTGTCCATTCTGCTTCATGAGACTTTTTTTGGTTTTGTTGAGAGATATTTTGGTCAAAAATAAATGTATTGTACAAAGTAGGCACTCAAAAGTATCAATCATCTGTGAACCCAGTGATGTAGATTCTTTGTATCATTGTTACCATATTCCAGAAATTGATTTATTGCAATAAATAATGAATGTTATGACAAATGGTTGCTTAAGTTAGTTATTTAATTATTCTTTATACTTTCCAGCTTATTCCTGGTGGTGAAGGTCCTGAAGTATGAACGGAACCCTCTTTCAACTAAGTGAATTTTTGATTCATGTACTTCTGTTTTATGTTCACTTCTGTTTATGACAGTTTTTTTTAGAATTTATTTTTTATGATACCTTGCAAAAACTTGCATTTCTTTTGTATCTGGAACAAATGTATTGTCTCAGAAGTGACAGGTGAATCATGGTTGAGTGTGTGCAAAACTTGATTTATTTTTAAAGATAAAATAAAGGGGTTTTCTTTTTCACTAATGTTCTGGTTTCAGTTTTACAGTATACGTGATGTGTATCAGGATAGAGACTTGGTTTCTTCATTTGCTATATACCCTGATAGCTTCAAGTCATTATTGTTTTGCACTCCCAGGAATTTTCAGCCATAAGTTAAGTGTAACTTTAAAATCTAACCTGAAATACTGAACGAGTAATGGCCTGCTGCTCTGCAGAGGAGGTGAATTTTGAAGTTCAGGAATGATTTTTCACCAAAGGTGATGACTGTCCTCCAAGTTATAATGAAAGAAGAGATAGTTGAGACAGTGTTTGAACAAAAATTTGACTGGAATTATTAGATTAGCTGATTACACAGTTGATATCATTCAGACTGGATGAGAGATTCAGTGGTCCCTCCTATAGGAAAGATGCTCTTACACTTGAAAGGGTTTACAAGGATGTTGCCAGGGTTGAGCTGTAGGGAGAGGTTGAATAGGCTGGTGCTATTTTCCCTGGAGTGTTGGAGACTGAGGGATGACCTTATGGAAGTTTGCAAAATCATGAGGTGCATAGATAGGCCTATTCCCCCAGGATAGGGGAGTGCAAAACTAGGGGGCATAGGTTTAAGGTGAGAGGGGGCAAGATTTATAAGGGACCTAAGGGGCAACTTTTCACACAGGGTAGTGTGTGTATGGAATGAGCTGCCAGAGGAAGTGGTGGAGGCTGGTACAATTACAACATTTAAAAGGCATCTGGATGGGTATATGAATAAGAAGGATCTAAAAAGATATGGGGCAAATACTGGCAAATGGGACAAGATTAATTTAGGATATCTGACCAGCATGGATGAGTTGGACCAAAGGGTCAATTTCCATGCTGTTCCGAATCATCTCTGATTCTGACTGTAAGTCAGGCAGGGTCATGAAATATTTTTAAGGCTGAGTTTGATCCTGAAGATAAGTCACAAGGGTCTAGTGGGTAAGCAGGGAAGTAGCGTTGAGGCCACAGCCAGGTTAGCCATGATTTTATCAAATCGTCTACTCCTACTCATTATTATGGCACTACATGAGCAGTAAAGATGACATAAGTGGTGATTGAAAGAGAGCTTTTATGACTTCATTACCCAGCTCCATTGCAAACTGATAAATAGTGTGAATGATCCCAGCAAAAGCTGCTCCTGAGAATCCATACGGTAATTTTTGAAGTATTAATGCAAATCTTATTTTACAGTCACACCACACAGAAATTTAACTAACCAGTTCAATCAATTGAGACTGTTTCAATGCTCTCCTGTCTGACTTTAAATATTTTCCACTCTAAATGTGAGGCCGTGCAAAATTGTTTGTTTGATTTGCACAAATCTTGTTCACACAACATTCTTGTCTTTAGTTCAAATGTTACCCTGTTGGAGGAACACCACCACGTCTTCTGCCTAGGTACCTAACAGCCTTCAGGACTCAATGTTGAGTTTAACAATTTCAGAATGTGTACGCTTTCCTCTATGTTTATTACCCACCCTGCACCCCTAATTCCTGTTTTGAATGGGTTGTCCCCAGCATAGCCATTTTAAAACATTTACATTTTCTGTTAGCACACTACCCAGCAATAATCTCTCTCGGTTTATCAGCAATCTCTTTGCCTATCCCTTTTTGCTCTCTCACTGTCTGGGCACTGTCCATGTACTCTCTTCACACCCCTCACCCCATCATCAGTCTTTCCCAACTATTTCTGTTCTGATGAAGGATCACTGGATTGAAAACATTAACTCTCTTGTTTTTCTCTACAGATGCTGCGAGACTGGAGATTCTCCCAGAGCTTTCTGTTTTTGTTTCAAATTTCCATCATCCGTAAATTTTCTGTTTTTTTAAATAACATTTTCATTATTGTTTTCTACCCCTCCCATGGACTTAACCATCTCTATCGCTGATCTCTAGCTTTAGAGCCTTCCACTATCTGTGCTCCTTTGACATTGTCCTCTTGAGCATTACTGCTTTTAATCACCGCAATGCTGGGAGCCGTTCTTTCAGCTGTCAAAGTCTGAAGCTGTTGAATTCACTCGTTGAATCTCTCCTTTTCTTTCCTCTAAGACATTTTTAAAAAATGTATCTCTTTGACAAAGTTTTTTATGATATCCGTTGTAATATCATTTTTATGCGCCTGGTTTCAAGTCTTGTTTGTTATGCACTAGTAATGTGTCTTGGGATGATCAAGTATATTAAAGGCATTATATAATCTATTCATGAGAATATTTCCAGAGATGTAGAATTCACATGAATGGTTTCGGTGATGAGGAACTTCAGTTATGCAGAAAGTTTGAAGATTTTGAGAACCTTCGAAAAGGTTGAGAGAATATTTGACAGATATTAAAATCATGAAGGATCTGGATATAATAGATAGAAATTGTTCCCATTGGTGGAATGATCAGGAACCAGAGGGTGTAAATTTCACAATTGCCAAGTGACATGAGGAGAAAATAGCTTTTTCATACATCAAATGTTCAGATCTGGAGTGT